TTCCAAGTAAGGAGGGTGCTTGTCTGGGGCTGCAGTGCATACTTTAGTCCTGGTGCTACTGAGCAGGCAAGAATTGAAATCAAGTTTTAAAATGTAAGGCAAGGGGGAAGATGATGGTCACAAAATTATTACATTCTTGAAAAGTGTAAAAAAACAATGGAATGGACACCTGTAGAAATAGTAAATCAGGTCTCACAGGAAGAAATTCTGGGGAGCAGTATTCAAGCCTGCATTTGGACAGCCACAAAGCAGTCTGAGTTGCAGAGGAGAAGAGCAGGTATAGTTGAAGGGAATAGGACAGCACCAGCACCTTGTGGAAGATTACCACAAGAAAAAAAGGCTATCAAGGAAGTTAATGTAGAAGAACAGACTTCTGCTGGTGAATGAACATAGAGGAATAGCACAATCATGTAAATACAAAATGAACAGCAATTAGCAAGTGGTATGAAAACTTCCCAGATACCCAGAAGCAACCAGACAACACAGGAAAACCCATCACTTGTTGATTAAAGAGGAGAAATAACAGCTGAAAGAAAGCTGATCGAATCTTTGTAAAAAAAGTTAATTGTGAAATTGATTTAGCAGATGATAAAGGCCAAAGAAAAAAAAAAATATATATCTCCCAAACAAGTTTTAGAAAGATAATGTCTTCATGTCTAAGAGGTCTCATGAAACTCACAATAGTGTAATTAAGGAACTTGTCAGAGCAGACTGAGCTATTAGTGATTATCTGCAAGAATTCTAGGTTTAAAGAGGATGTCCCAGAGGGCTGGAAGATGGCAGAGAGAGGACCTGTCTTTATTGAAAGGAAAAAGGCGGAGCCAGGGAATTCAAAACTAATCTGCCTAATTTTGATAAATGGAAAGATAATAGAATGAATAATGAAATATCTGATTTATATTCCCAAGAGAACAATATATTGACAAATATCAGCCAGTGCAGAGTTTTTGAATATTTTTTTATTCTTAATAACGTGGCATGTCAGACCAATTTACTTGGTAAGTAGCCCAGTAATTAAAAAAGAGGCAGGATGCCATTTTCCAACACAATGTTCTGAGAAGTGAAAGAGGAAAATATGATCTTGGTGAAATCACATTCACTTGAACATGCTACTGCATCAAAAACTGCACTTGGAAACCAGGTGTCAATCATTCACTGTCAGGGCAGGATGGCATTTAAGGCAGTCCTTCCTGCATTTCTCCTAGTCTTTTCTCTCTTCACCTTATTCAGCAGAGGCTGGGACTGACAGTGAGCTCAGCTCTTACAGCACTAGCTGTAAAGGTAGAGGATGATCCCAGCTGAGGAGGGAGTTCAAATCTGCAGCTTGAAATTCAGCAAAGGTGAGATATTTCTGAGTGCTAAATAAAGTAGACTGAATAAGCAAAGAAGTGGCAGCACACCAAGAAGTGATCTTGGCGATACAGAGGACCAGAAGCTCAATGTGCACATAGAAAAGAAGATGAATGTTTTTTTCAAGGTGTATCAGTAAGAGGGCTGGATGTAAAACATGAGGAAATTGGCTTGCTCTGTGTGCATAAAAAAATAAAAAAGAGAAAAAGTAAAGACACTGGTAGGACATCAGCTTGGCTCCCTGCTTGAAATGAGATCAATTCCCCAGTGAGTTCAGAAGGGATCAGTGGTAATGATATGTGATGTGAAAAACACATTATCCAAGCAAAGGCTGGAGAAACCAACTTTGTTCTGTATAGAAACAGGATCAGAGGAGAACAAGAGAGATGCTGTCAGTCCTGCAGCATGCAAGAAGGGTGTTACAGGAAGAAAAGAGCTTAGTTGTTCTCTGTGTTGAGGAGAGTTTTGTTTATTTTACACGAAGATATTTTGAGCAAGCAGCCTGGGGGAAAAAGGAAAAAAAAACAACAAACCAGATGAAAACCAAAACCCAAACCCCAAAATAAAACTCAAAACTTTCTCATTTGAAGGATAGTTGGAACAAGGTACCAGAGGAGGCTGTACAAGCCCTGTCATTGGAGGACTGTTAGCAAAGCAGCTGTCAGAACTGCTGTAGATCATCTCTTGAGGTCCTTTCCAGCTCTGCTTTTGTATGATCTTGCAGAGTAATTAAGCCTCTGTTTAACATTATGCACATAAGTGACTTGCAAAATAGGCAGTGTTCCAACCTGAGCACATGTTTAATTGCTTTGCTGGTCTGAGGCCCAAGGTATTTCTGGAAGGTGTTAATTTATTCCAAAAATTCTTGCTAACAACTATTCCCCTATGCACACTGACACCTGCAAAAAAATAAGAGAAGTATTCTTCTGCTTCCAAGCTGCTGCATTCCTTTCAAACCATCCTGCCCTCCTCTGATAATACTAAGAAAATAAAAGATTCTCTGTTTGCAACCTTATTTACTGGGCAAAATTATTTCCTCATGTGCTGTAGTTACAAGAGAAACATGAAGTCACTGGAACAATGAGATGAATTATATCAATAAAACATTAGGGACGCAAAATTTGTACATGAATGTATTTACAATTCACTCAAAACCATATATAATACATACAGATGTCACACACACTAACAGACTCCCTTGAGCCTTGAATGGCTGGAAAATCTCCTGTTACAGCATCAGGACCATTACATTTAGATCCTAGTATATATCTGTGTTTAACCTCACTGTGCCTTGACTCTGAGGCAGCATGGTGCCCTTCCACTGCCACAGACAGGAAAACAGTTCATAAAGCACAGTTGGAAGATCTCTGGGGAGCTGAGACATACTGAGATTTAACTGACTTTCCCAAAGCTAGATAACCTCTTCCCAGGCCTATAGGGCCGAGCCCTATCAGCACACAGCTGGTAACTGCATGGGGAGGTTGGGGATGCCAAGTGCAGCTCACGTACCAACAAATCCTCATTTTTCTGTTGGTGAGGGGTTGTGTGTCTGTGTGTGTAATGAATTGTTGTATCAGGGGTATCAAAGTGTCAGTCGTGATTCTGGTCTTCCCAGTCTATGTGAGGTGTGCAAACACACAACAAAGAAGAAGCTCTGCCTTAAGCTTTCCAAGCTGACTGCTGGATGAAATACCAGTCGGATGAAAGGAAGGCAGGGAGGAACAAAAGGAAATTGTAAGCCTCGTTACACTATTATCTGAGAATTGCTGTTGCTTACAGAGATGAATTTTAGCTTTTGAGAGGCTGCTTGTGGAACAGGATGTGAAATGGCCATCCTTGCCTTAAGATTTTGATGGGAAAAGTAATTGGCAGGAAAAGCTCCCATACCCAGAAAATCAATCAATTGGATGTTTATATTGCAGGAAAGCCTTGTTTCAACCCTTCACTGAAAAGCTGGCAGTGAAGGGACTTAAATCTGGCCACTACCTACAATAGACCACAAGATTCAACTGGATCTGGCAGGGCTTGGACATGTCAGAAAACCCCAACAATCAAGGTGGAGGTGATGGACTGGGGGGTGATTTTCAACTCAGTCACACTCACTACTGCTAAGTTTCTTCCAGACCCAGAATTGTCAGAGGCTCCTTCCTTGCATTATTTTGGCCACCAGAGATGATGGTGGGTGCCAACAGCCCCTTACTGGGCCAGGTCCTCTCCTTGGTTCTCCCACTTTCACTAGGAAATTGGGAAAAGGAAAGGGAAAGATTTATTGTAAATAGGGTTTATTTTCAACTGCAAGTTGGGTCCTGTGAAAACCTGATGGCCATGAGTGGGAGATTCTTCACTTTCTTTCCTTGATAGAATCAAAAAATGACCAATTTTCTTGAGAACATTTTAACAGCACCACTAAATTATTGTGTTTGAGTTCAATTTCTAAGAAACTTTAAACTATTTAAATATAAATTTAAAATATTTTTTTACTGGCTTCTTGCTGATATGATGAAATATAAGGGTTTTTTTTAGCAGTTGCCCTTTCACTGTGGACTTTAAGATATGCAGCTTCACTAATGAGATTTCTCTTTGTGAAGCTGTACTGTTTTAATACTGATAAAATGAAAATCCCATCATTAATTTTAAATCTGCAGAGCAAATGAATGACCGTTTTCCTAAAAATATACATTTCTGTCAAGTCATTCATTTTTTATTTTGAGATACTTATGTTTTCCAGTTTTCCTGCTGACACATAAATTGGTATTTTCCCAGCATCTCACCTCTGAAAAAAATTTCTCATGTACCATTCAGTCAGGCAGTTTCAGTTCATAAGGTCTAATCCTTTAATTGTTTCATGGATGAAAATTCCAATAATATGTGATTAAATCTCTGGCACATATTAGTTATTATTTCCTTATCAGTAATATTTACTATTTATTTTAGAGCAAATACACTCCCAGAGCACCCAGACTACAATACACGAACACATCGAAGTTTGTCTTGTAGACCACTTGCTAACTTTGACTCTCAAAAGGCCCTCCAAAACCTTGGCAAAACCTTAAAATTACCTCCTTGATAAACCCTGCTTGTCCATGATTTTTCCAGAAAAGCTCATTTAGTTGAAGTTGATCACTAATCCACTGCAGGATTAGGAGAAATTTATCATTCACAGGCACGACACTGCTTACAGGGAAGCTGATCTCCAAAATACTCTTAGTATACTTTTGAAATTCTGATTAATTTTTCCCCCACTGGAAAAAAAAAAAAAGCCAAAAAACAATTTCAAGAGCACCAGATCTGCTTCTGCTGTGATTCTTTCCGTGGTGGAGAACAGGCAAAAAAGAATGTTATAACTGGAGATGGTAAGGGAGATTAAGAAAAGGAGGGGGTGTTTTCTTGGAAAAAGCAGTAGATTAAAACCAAGGCTTTCCTTTGGGACCTATTGTTTTTTGCTTGCTTTTGATGAAGAACACAGAAAGCATTTTTTTTCCTTGGGTGCAGTAAAGAACCTCTAGCCTAGGGAGGCACACCCTAGGATGGTGAGTGGGCTGGTGGAAGGAGTGCTCTTCCTCTTCCAGATTAACGACCACTTCTCAAGTGAAGTCTGAGCTGCTGGCTATTGTGCAGTGTGTACTTTTCTTCCTTTCCCCTCCCCCCCATATTATTATTTTCATTTTATTTTTGGCAAAAACAATTGAGAGAGTCTTGGTTTTAGTGCACTTCGGCACAAGTGTCAACACCTTGAAATAGTTCACAAAATGGAATTCTTGCTGCCCACCCAGCCCTATAATCAACACCCCAAGGTTTCCTCAGACACCTATTTTACCAGAAAGTCTGGAAATCCTTAGGCTAAGTGATGAGCTAAGATACATTGGCTCGCAGAGGAAAGCTGGCACACAGTGCCTCAAACCCCAGTTTTGTGGGGAAGCAACTCTTCAGGCAGTGAAGCTGTGAGTGCCTGGTGAATCCATGGTCTTAGAGGTCCTTTCCCAGTTGACTCCCTGTGAATTCAGTCCAGTACCTGTTCAAGCAAACAGCGACCCTGCACCACAGAGCATATGGGAGGGGTAACTGAGCGAGTGTGGTGAGGGGTAGTAAGGGCAGGGAAATCCTGTGTGCAGTTATAAAATCACAGAATCATTTTGGTTGGGGAAGATCTCTAGGATCATTGAGTCCAACCACAGCACTTCCAAGTCCACCCTAAACCATGTTCCCAAGTGCAAGATCTACATGCCCTTTACATGCATTCAGGGATGGTGACTCCCTCCCTTCCTTGGGAGGTCCGTTCCAACCTTGGACTATCCTTTCCATAAAGAAATTTTTCCTAATATTGAATCTAAAAACCTCCCCAGGTGCAAATTGAAGCCATTTCTGGCCCTTTCACTTGTTACCTGGGAGAAAAGACCAATCCCCACCTGCCTACACCCTCCTTTCAGGTGATAAGGTCCCCCCTGAACCTCTTTTTCTCCAGGCTAAACACCCCCAGCTCACTCAGCTGCTCCTCACAGGACTTGTGCTCCAGACCCTTCCCCAACTCTGTTGTCCTTCTCTGGACAAGCTCCAGCTTGTTGTTCTTGTAGTGAGGGGCCCAAAACCGAACAGAGCACTTTAGGTGTGGTCTTGCCAATGGTGAGTACTGGTGAGGAGGTTGATCATTGTCCTGATCCTGCTGGTCACACTGGTCCTGATACAGGCCAGGATGCCACTGGCCTTCCTGGCCACCTGGGCACAGCTGGCTCATGTTTAGCTGCTCTCAACCTTCACCCCCAAGTCCTTTTCCTCCTGGCAGCTTTCCAGACGCTCAGCCCAAGACTCAAGTGCAGAGGTCTGTTGTGACCTTACTGAACCTCATACCATTAACCTTAGCCAGTCCAGATCCTTCCACAGTGCCTTCCTGCCCTCCAGCAGATCAACACTCCTGCCTGACTTGGTGTCATCTGCAAACTGACTGAGGGTGCACTTGATCCCCTCATCCAGATCACTGTTAAATGTGTTAAACAGGGCTGGCCCCCACACTGAGTCTTGGGGGATATCACTTGTGACCAGCCACCAGCTGGATGTAATTCCATTCACCACCACCCTCTGGGCCCAGTCATCCCACCAGTTTTTTACCCAGCGAACAGTACATCCATCTGAGCCATGAACATCCAGAGTCTCCAGGAGAATGTTGTGGGAAACTTTGCCAGAGGATAAATTCCAGGTAGACCAATTCCACAGCTCTTCACTTATCTGCCAAGGTTAGTGGTTGTTCTCCTGCAAAAGCCATGATGAGCTGCAACCCATCTGTTTACAGATACAGACTTTCTGCCTTGCCTCCAGGACATTTCTAGGGGAAGGGCACAGATATCTACATACACAACTCTTCATCAAAAGCTGCATCTATTCGACTTTTTGGGTTCTGAATGGCAGAATGGGAGCCTCACTTCTGCCCCTTACTGTGATGATGGGCTTTCATCCCTGGTATTGGGATGCAGCCCCATCCAGTGAGGCTGATGGACAGCCAGGGACACATGCACTCTTCTCTGAAGGGTTTCTTTTATTGTTCTTCCTCCCTTTTTTCCCTTGTTTTGTTATTCTTACCACATAAAGAAGAAGTCCTTCAGAGAGAGCCTGCCGGAAGAGCCAAGACACATTCAAATGCTCTCTTTTCATTGTTCCCAGAAGATTAATGACACGTAGGCCAATGTTCCCGTAGCCTGCATGCCAAGGGGGAACAAATGAAAGCATGTAACTGGAATTTCCACTCAGCTTGTCTCAACAGCACACGAAAAGCTAGGACAAATCAAATTACAGCTACAGAATACAACAAAGAAGTTGCCCTCTCAAAATAAACAAACAAGCAAATGAATAGGAGAGTGGCCCCAATTTAATTGGTGAAGTCAGGCAATGATAGCTGCTTCACATCTGGGCTGTACTTTCATTTGGCTGGAGGCTACCTTTTCATGCCTGTGCTGAACTCCAGCCGCCAGTGAAGATCTGGTGGATGTTTTTCAAGCTGGGCAGCCTGCTGCTGGCTTCCATGGCCAGCTCCCCATGGCTGCTCGCTGCTTCCATAGCCCAGTCACAGGAGCCCCCACTGCCCCATCCCTGCTAAGAGCAGTGTCCCTTGTGTTTGTCCCAAATTCCAGCGCAGTGGCCAAAGCTGGCTGGCAGACAAACTGCTGTGTGGAAGCTTGTCAGTCAGAGCCATCCATGGGTGTCCCCCCAGGCAAGGTGGCTTCTTCATTCCAGGCTGCCACACAGCACAGGGGAAAGTCACTCACTTTGAGGGGTGTCAGCAGGTCGTGTGCCTCAAAAGCTAGTGTTAAATAAATGTGCAGGTCTGGGGTCAATGTTTTGTTGTCCCACTCCTTCTCCCAAAACTCACACTGTGGTTTGTCAAGTTGCTGGTTTGGGGAGTTTGGAAAAAGAAGGAAAAAGAAGGATCAACAGGCACATTAAGAAAAAACAGCTAAATAAGATGAGACTCCAAAGAACCTGGGGAATGAAGGAAGGCAGGGTGCTGTCCCTGGAGAGAACCAAAGAGCCTGCCTACCTTTGTCAATACAGCCGTGCTGATTCCAAAGCAGATCCCCTCCTCACCAGTTGATGAGAGGGCCCCACTAAGCCCCTGCTCCCTCCACTGCCACAGGTGAGCTGGAGCCAGAAATGGAAAAGAAGATTTCTGTCTGGAGCAGGCAGATACTTATCACTTTGCTTCTAAAAGGATGAAATTTTGAATGCTATTTCCTCATGCTTTCTGACTAGCCCAACTCATCTTTTTCCTGGTATGCAAGTCAGACTCCAGTTGGGAAACAACAAAAACAACTCCAAAACCACCAGAAACAAACTCCACCACAGCTGAGCTCTGCTTCTGCCAAGGAGACTCAGGTAGTCCCTGATATGAAAAGGAGCTGTTGGTACCTAAGGTGTGCCCCAGAAATCCCTCCTACGTACTACTCCTAGGCTTTGTAACCTGATCTGATGCACCAGGAGTGGTGGTTTTGGCTCATTTCTACATTAGGGAACACTTACTAGATACGGTGAGTGAAACACACCAGTCTTAGGCAGAGATTGGTGCCCCACCCAAATCCAGCCAACCAGTCAGAGGTTCAGCATGCCGGAGGATGCATTGATTCCCGAAAAATATCACTCCTTACCCTATATTTACAGCAGTACATTACATTTACAGCCAAAAGTAAATCTAGTAACAAGTCATTGCTTTGTCTGTATTCCTGTCCATTTCTCAATTATTTTTTTCTTCCCTTAAATGCAATTTTTCAGATTTGCCGTTTACAACAAGCCTCTGCATTACTAGCTTTCTTCTAAATAAAATGTACACTGAAGTCATACCTGTGATACAACTTCCGCTGGGTCGCATTAAGAAGTGGTAAGTAAGATCTACCCTGGAAAATGGCTTTATTCACATTGCATTTGCTTAGATCTGGCATACAGACCCAGAGCTACAGGAAACCAGTTTAGTTGCTTCCACTGAATTTCTCTTGGGGAAACTGGAGAAAAAACATAAAGCAATGTCTGTTTGTTGTGGCTGAGCGACATCTGTCAAAACCCAAATGTTTTTCAGACATGGGTGCCCACGGGCAAATGTTATCTCCCAGATAACAGCAGCTCAATGACAGCACTGATTTTTCCAAGGTTGAAGCATTGACAGTTGCCGCAGTCAGGCAGCATCCAGTGCCTGAAAATACCAAACCCACTACTTGTGTCCATTACCAAGCAGTGACGCGAGGCCCAAGAGTCAGGCAAACTGTGCTTAAAATAACAATTAGCATCATTGCCCAACTCCTACGCCAACAGATCCTTTCTGGTGACCTATGCTTTCCTCCTTTTTATTGCCTGTGATAGGATCCCATGGAGCAAACCAGGTGGTGTTTCCCCTGCCACTGCGATTGGCAGTTCTGGCTGTCAGAGCACACCGTCCGTATCCAGCAGCTGTGCCACATGGCACACAACACTGCTTCAGTCATCGCAGATGCCAAAGGGTGATTTAGTGCAGTGGTCTCTCTGCAAGGGCTGCCTGACCCTGAATTATCTTTTTAAAGAGGTGGAAGGCCCATGTGTTAAGCAAACATCCAGCCTTGCGTTACGCAAGAAGCTATCGCAGGAGCTGTTTGTTCCAAAACACGGCGCAGGGAATACATGTGCACCTCGCTGCGTGAGGGGTGCACTCATGCCACGCACAACAAGGAAACACGCTGCAGCACTTAATTGCTTTGGTACATGTGAAGTCTGAGCAAGAGGGCCAGCAAAGCAGAGAGACATTATTGGTACAAAACAGAGAGCAATCACATGGGCGTTTTGAGGTGTTACCAAGATTCAGCCACTGCTGGTTTCTCAGTCACTCCACCACATGCTCCCTAAAAAAGCAGTGTTTTCAGCCCTCCACTTTCCCACAGCTCAGGGAGCTGATCCCACCAAGACAGAGGGAGGATCATTCACCCTTGGGAGGCACTTGAGTCACCATGATTTCTGTGATTTATGATCTCTCTGCCTGCTTCAGTTAATGTCCAGGGCAAGCGAGCAAACGTCGCGCGCATGTCCCTGTCCCCACGTTATGCCAGAAATAGCGCATAACAACACATTGGCAGGTTGCAGTCTTTGCTAAGATTTATTTAACATTTTCCCCCTCTTCATTTTCCTTTTTTTCCTCCTCAGAGGAGGTCTCTCGGCATGTTCCGGTGGTTATTGTTCTTGGGCTGTGCAAGGGCAGTGCCCCAGAGGGGCTGGGCTGGAGTCTGAGGTGTTCCACACCCACATTCCCTGCTGGTGGGAGACGGATGTCTCCTCATGGCCTGTATTTGCACAACTTACTGTATATTTCCATAGAAGGACAATGAGCATCTACCTAAGCATAAGAAGCCTCCCAGATGACAAACATTGTTACACTCGCACCCAAAACAAGGGATTTGCGAAATACAGAAATTCCCTGCGTGCTTCTCCTCTGAGGTTTTTCTGGGATATTTTTTTCCCTGCTTGAAGCAACAAAGTCATTGTATGAGTAATATTGTCCCATGTTTTTGTTGTCATTCATTTGTGCTTCCTATGATTTTCTTATCAGACAAACTTCCAGAGTTCTGGAAAAGGATGTGCATACAAATTGCCTCTTCCACACATGCATAACCTCTTCAATTTTTAAATGAAAAAGCTACTAAAGTTTTAATTTCAGATGAAATGGAGGGCTGCTATGAAATGCTTAAGCACATTCTAATTTTACAAGATATGAGCAGTGCTACTGGCTTGACGGGCCAGTAAACAAGTGTCCCTTTTAAAAACTCAAGTTTATCTCATTACGGGCCTAGCATGAATTCTTCACCCAGGACCATCTGGGAGCAAGGTAACAGTGTCTTCATAGCTGTCTCAATAGTGTGAAGATAAGAAGCAGGGAAAGTTTTTTTGGCAGACCAAATGTCTTTTATTTGGCTAACAGATAAAACTAGCTAGCAGGGAAAAAAAGCAAGAAAACTTCAGGACACACTCTGTCTGATGTTACTTGCTTTTTTAAAGAGAGAAGTAGGCATGGTCTTCACAGGTACAGACTGAAGTCTGAGACTTGAAATGGAGAGCTGTAGGACCTTGCTGACTTCAGCTGAGTACCTTTGAAGGCAACCTCCTCTCTCTGGTACACATGCCATTTATTTTGTTGATTAAAACCAAAAACAGGTTTATTTTGGCTTTTTGTTGTTGCTGGCGTGAGTACAGCTACCCAGGGAGGGAGATTTATCTCACTTTAAAGGAGCTATCTTAGCATTAGGCAACTGGCATGATCTGGTGTGTCTGGGCTCCTGCTGCAGTCAGTGGAAAAGGATGAGCTCTTCTCATTCAATGGGGCTCAACCCATTTTATGACAGATATCAGAGACAAGAGGGATGAATCGCCCTATAGACAGACTTCTCTCTCTCTGCTGAGAATATAGGGACTCTGGATGACTAGACCTAAACAGCTAAAATTAGATGAGATGAATCATACCCAAAGGTGATTTTTTTTTTCCCCAAAAACCTTTGCTGACTATGCTCAATCTCCTTTGTGCCAACCAAATGGACCCAAACCTCTACAAAGAGAATGATCCTTGCTTTCTATACATTTCCTACGGGAGCCAAGGCAACTTGGAACATCAAGAAAGTAGACTGTAATATTTAACACCTTTGGTGATTCAAAGATCACCTTTGGTGATTCAAAGATGAGGCTTAACATTTAATAAGGGGGCTTAATTTAAGTCTCTCCCATCAAATCAGGATGACATTCCAGTAAAACTATATAGCTGCACTTGTAATGACCAGCACCAAAACTTGTTGGATGTGTATGTGGGAGACCCTTGAGAAATTGCCTCTGCAGTACATACCTGTATGTTGCACAATCACACTCCTTCCCATTACAAGATGAGATATCAATAAAGGTCTCATCCGAAGCAGCCCTCCCCACACCTACTTTTGTAGGATTACATAATAGAACTACAAATATGCTCAGCAGCAGTATGCATTCCCAGCCCTTTCTGAATCTTGATAAACTCACGACCTCCGTGACAGCCTGCAGGAATGAGATCCATAGTTGAATTATTTCACACGGGCGAAAATAGTCCCCTTTTCAGCTTTGAACTTGCTAC